AAGGAAAAAAAACAAAAATGGGGGGGGGGGGGTATCTGTGCTACAGATACCAATGCATATTGGTATCTGTGGTTCCATAAAGAACCTTTAACATTCATAGAACCTTTCCATTGCAAAAAAAGTTCTTTATAGGAGATAATAACAGTGGAATTAATACCTTGTACTGGAACTGTACTGCCTATAGCTTTATTTTCAACATCCTGGGATGACCAGGCATTCATCGCTGCCTCAGCCAGAGCAAACTGCTCCGCCACACCTGTGAGAGGAAGAAAGAGATCACATATACATAATAGAGGACCAGAAAGAAACAACATAATTATCCGTAAGAAATTTGCACTTACATCAACTGTTTTTTATCACTCATGTCCTATGAAGGAACTTTTAACATTTAAATGAATATTCATGACAATTACCAAGACCAAAATTGGTATTTCACACCTGTCTGTCTGTTCACTGAAAATGAAAATTTGCTGAACATTTACTCACCCTCAGGCCATCTGAGATGTAGATGAGTTTGTTTCTTCATCATAACAGATTTGGAGAAATTTAGCATTACATCACTTGCTCACCAATGGATCCTCTGCAGTGAATGGGTGCCGTCAGAATGAGAGTCCAAACAGCTGATAAAAGCATCACAATAATCCACAAGTAATCAACAGGACAACAGTCAATCAGTTCATGTCTTGTGAAGTGAAAAGCTGCATGTTTGCGGCATATTTCTCTCCCAATTTAAGCAAGACAACTTTTTCATTTGAGAAAGTAATATTATGAATAGAGGACTTGTATTTTAGCTGGAAGCAACAGTTTAAAGTTAAAAACATCTTAAGGATGAATTTGTTTATTCCAAAATGCAGCCTTTCACTTCAAAAGATGTTAATTGGTGGACTGGAGTTGTACTTGTGGATTATTGTGATGCTTTTATCAGCTGTTTGGACTCTCATTCTGACGGCACCCATTCACTGCGGAGGATCCATTGGTTAGCAAGTGATGCTAATCTGTTCCAATGAAGAAACAAGCTCATCTACATCTCGGATGTCCTGAGGGTGATTACATTTTCAGCTCATTTTTACTTTAAGGTGAACTATTAATTAAAAAACAGAAATCCTTCAGAGTAAGATTTGAAATTTACACTTAAATAGTAGCAGTTTTTGCAGTAACAAAGTCACAAAGTCAATGCCAGGGCATTGTTTTTAAAGTGTTTTTAACATGTTGCTGTGTGGTTTCTAGGTGGTTGTTTACTGCCACAAGTTAAAAAAAACCACCCCAATGGCACTGTCATATTGTAAGTGATGATATCTGATCTGTTTGATCAGACAATGTAGTCAATATCCGGTATATCTACATTGGTTGCTATAGTACTGACATGAACATCAACACATCACAATGAGACATTCAAGAGGAGCTATTAGTGTGGAAAGAACGAATGGAAAAACCCTGCATTTGTTCATGTCCATCATGCTGAACTCATGAGGCACATTAAACAACATAATCGAGGTATTACTGCAATAATACTTATTATGCAGGGCTGAAGTTTTTAGATTAGTTTAAACCTGAGTAGTTAAATGTTAAATATATAAATGCTGTCTCACCCGCAGCAAATCGTGCTTCTTTGATTTCATCAGTGAGGTGAGAGTAGAGCTGCTCGTCCTCCTGCAGTGCGGCTCCCACACTTCCCCATCCTCCACCATCTCTCGTACAGCCACACCAGCCTCCTCCAGACGTCGCTTCCCCTCCCCAACTCTTCCACTCAATCAGGTGGGCGACTCGGCCCTGGGCCATCGCAGTGGGCTTAGTGATGTGGTCTTTAATAGTGGCCAGCAGTCCTGGGGAGATCGGAGGGATTAGCATGAGCGCAAATCAAATGAAATAAAAGAAATTAAAAGAAGGAAGAAGGTGAAGAGGTGATGCTAAAAAGGGACAAAAGTGAGAACGGATAAATCATCTGGGTAAAAAGAGACGTAGAGCTTATTCTATATATATATAAAGCTTAATAATGTTCAGTTTCTTGCACAGACTGATCGCTTTGCTTCCTAAGACCTTAATATATTGCTAGGAGCAACAGGTACTAATTTTATTTTGCTTCTATATGCTATTTTGACTATTAAAGTGTCGGTAGCCATAGACTTGTATTTATGAAACACCAAGGAGTCTTCTTTCTGTCTACTGAAGAGAACAAAGTCACCTACATCTTGGATGGCCTGATGGCAAGTAAATTAACAGCAAATAGTTCACCCAAAAATGAAAATAAGAACTACAAACAAACATTTGGTCTCAAACTGGATTGCCCTTACTGAGTGATATAGGGTTAATTTTCAATCCTTTTTTGTTAGCATGTGTTTATTTATTTATTTGTTTAAAGGGTTAGTTCACCCAAAAATGAAAATTAGCCCATAAATTACTCACCCTCAAGTCATCCTAGGTGTATATGACTTTCTTCTTTCAGACGAATCCAGTTGGGAGTTATATTAAAAATTGTCTTTGATCTTTCAAGCTGTTTAATGCCACTCAGCGGGTGTTGCATGCATCAGTCCAAAAGAAGTCAAATAAAAAGCGCCCATCCATAAAAAAAAATGTCTCACACGGCTCCGGGGGGTGAACAAAGGCCTGTAGCGAATCGATGCGTTTTTGTAAGAAAAATATACATATTCAAAATGTAATAATCATTTTATAATGTAGCTTGCGCCAACAGTTGTACACGGAAGCAGTTCTGGGGGAATGACGTATGGAGGTCAGCTTTGCGCATGCGCCGCTCAGAAGTGACGCAAGCAGGAGAGCGCAGGGGAGGGATCAAAACAAAACAACAGTAGAGCTGCTCGTCCTCCTGCAGTGTGGCTCCCAGACCTCCCCATCCTCCACCATCTCTCGTCCAGCCACACAAGCCCCCTCCAGACGTCGCTTCCCCTCCCCAACTCTTCCACTCAATCAGGTGGGCGACTCGGCCCTGGGCCATCGCAGTGGGCTTAGTGATGTGGTCTTTAATAGTGGCCAGCAGTCCTGGGGAGATCGGAGGGATTAGCATGAGCGCAAATCAAATGAAATAAAAGAAATTAAAAGAAGGAAGAAGGTGAAGAGGTGATGCTAAAAAGGGACAAAAGTGAGAACGGATAAATCATCTGGGTAAAAAGAGACGTAGAGCTTATTCTCTCCAAAGTCATCGAAAACTGAACAGCCTTTTAGGATTAGTGTCTGAAAGCAGGGACCAGAAGACATTTTCAATGGGTTACACTTTAGGGCCCCATTGCATATTTTCAAAGCATTAGAGGCACAAATACCATGTTTTGAGAAATATTAGCTATGTGAAAGGAACAATTATGTAAGAGCCTAGCATGAAAACTGTATCTTTCCTCTTCAAATTATCATTTTGGCCTGCAACACCTCAGAGGTTTTCACATTTACAATTGTGTCCATCAATTGAAATCATAAAGGAATGTCATATTTTTGACACAATTTGTAGAATAAATTTTCACTTTGTTTTATATATATATATATATATATATATATAACGCATCGATTCGCTACAGGAGGCTTTTGTTCACCCCCCGGAGCCGTGTGAGACACTCTTTTTTTATGGATGGATTTGCTTTTTATTTAACTTCTTTTGGACTGATGCATGCAACACCCGCTGAGTGGCATTAAACAGCTTGAAAGATCAAAGTCAAATTTTAATATAACTCCGACTGGATTCGTCTGAAAGAAGAAAGTCATATACACCTAGGATGACTTGAGGGTGAGTAATTTATGGGCTAATTTTCATTTTTGGGAGAACTAACCCTTTAAGGTTTATTGCAATATTTTAATTTTTATTGTAAATTACAAAACTATAAATATGTTTTAAACTTTATTCAGACATGTCCCAATTTTTGGTAAACAAATTATTGTACTTTTTGTGCCCAATGCAGTTGGGGACAAGTGAAAAGAAACATTTCTACATAGACAAACTTGGTGCCTAATGGTCGTGCAAGTCCATACAAACCTATTACTGGAACTAGCAATAATTTGCATTCCCCATGACACGTGTTTTATAAATTAATCCTCCTAATTGCATTTTTTCCCCAAAGCAGTTAGTTTCTAGAATTTTTGCAGTCGATCAGAGATTTGTGGTTCTTTTTGCCTCATAATACATATTCATCAGCTGGTGACTGCATTTATAATTAGACTGAAATTATCAAAAATGCTCTTTGGAAAAGCTTAAAAACCCATAACACATTATTACTCTCTGTAATTAACTTTCTGAAAAGAGTGGGCCTGGAGAAATCGAGCAAAAAAAAAAAAAACCGGCAGGAAAGGAAACAGGTGGCTAAAGAGGCACTAGAGAAGGAGAGAGAGAGATTGTTCATAAATGAGAGATATGCAGGCAGAGGGAAATTACATTAGCAAGCTTCTGTAAAGGTCGACTGCTCTTCTGATTCAGACGAATGATTCCGAACAATAGCAAAAACCTAGCAAAACAACACACAGTGTGACAGTGCCTAACATGCGCTCTTTGCTCCTCACCCAGCAGGGAAGATGTAGCCAATTCTCCAATGTCATACCCGCTGCTGCTCCTTTTATCTGACATGCTGCCATTGTAGGGCTGATGGTTACCCTGAATAACATGACAAGACAGGAAACACAAGACAGCCTAACATACCAAATAAAACCTTTCAGAAATCACATATGCAAGTGAATCACAGGTGCTAATTACACCTAAGAAGACACTTTTACCAGATCTTACACATTCAGAGTGTGAAAGCGTTCCCATGCATCTTTTATATTTATACATCTTCATATACACTTCCACTTTTGATTTTTGTGACAAAACAGACCTTAAAGATGGGCTGTCCTTCAGCGTACGAGTGAAGCTCTTCCATGGGGTGTTGCTGGCCACTTTGCAGCTCTAGAGAGACAAAATATGTTGCTGTTAATTGCAAACTGTTTATTTAATATATTTTCCAGTGACAGATAACAGAGTGAGTGTGTGTGTGTGTGTGCGTGTGTAGCAGTTTGACCTGGAGTGGATTGACGGGACTCACTACTGTTGCTCTGTTTCCATAGCAACAAGAGATTGTCTTGACAACACCTCCCTGGGGATCCCCAATGTTAGAAAGCACATTTTTCGTCACCAGCCGCATCTCATTGAGGTTAGACCTCAAAGAGGACAGCTAATCTCAGACCTGTGGAGCTTCGGCCTCCTGCCAGCATGTTATTTGCTAACAGGTATCAACTGACAATGCGTGACCTTTACAATGTCACACGTTGTGCGTGTGTCCCCCTCTACAACCCACCTCCCATTCATCACGGTGAAACTCCATCCATCTCACATATGCATTATACATCAGCTCTGACCCTGGCATTTCGCACTTCATGCTCCGCCTTAGCTACAGAGCCCTGGACCTTCTAACCCCCACAGGACTCAGACAAACAAACACTACCCTCCGCTCCCTGGGATTTACAAATCATCCACTTCATCTGTGCCATTTCCTTGGAGGACACCTTGAGGATGAAATGTCACCTCTTACCATAGACTTCATTTGTAAATACTGTGACAGTACATATGTGCACCCAGATTGAGCGGTCTCGCTGTCTTCTGATTCATAATACACTTGTCTTATTCAGATGGGATGATACAAATGAGAACAGAATAATTTCCCTCCGGTGCTCAGAGGAAACTTCTCAGAATTAGCTGTGCTACTCCAGCGTCAACAACTGGTTCTGTTTGGCCTGTGAATTTAGCGACAACTAACTCAAATAAATCCCTCAGTGTAGTCATTATGTAAGATATAATGTACACAGATACTCACAAAATCAATACATATGTGGACATTAAATATTGATTTGTGAAGTATTTTATAGTCATTATGCAAGTGTTGATGAACAGCCATTATTGCAAAATAAACCTGACAGAGTTTAATAATTAGTACACAGCAACAAATCAATAAATATGTGGACATAAAATATTGATATGAGAATTGTTATAATTTTTATAGTCATTATGTAGGTGATAGAGCCATTATCGCAAAACAAACTGGACCGAGTTTAATACACGGTCACACTTTATTTTAAGGTCCAATTCTCGCTATTAACAAACCGTTAATAGTGAGAATTGGTCCCTAAACTAAATTGTTGCTAATACACTTATAACATGGATAGGCCTATACTCACCAAATAAACAATTATGTTGACATGAAATATTGATATGAGAATTATTTTATAGCCATTTAATACACATCTACATCTTTATATACAAATCTATTCACAATATAAATAAATAAGTGGACATGAAATATTAATTTGAGAATAATTTTATGATTATTTTAAAGTCATATTAATGTACAATATAGGTGCATCCCAGTTGGCGTACTTATGCACTATTCTGTGCCATTTTTTAGTATAAATAGTGCGAGTAGTGTGTTCACACTGAAAATTTCCAAAAAGAAAAAGTGCACTTTAAATACCCGAATGATGCACTTAAGTGAAAAAAAAAAAAATACTAAAGAGTGTAGAATGCTGGACTCTTCATGCACTCAAGTGTTGCAGCTTTAAAACAGAGGGAGAGGTGCTATCCGATGAATGACAAAATAACCTTACATAATTCATAGTGCACAAGTACATATTGTATAAGTGCAGTGTATAGTGTGTTATTTGGGATGCAGCTATTGACCGCCGTTATAAAAATATATATAAAAACCCCGACAAATGTTAAACACTTAATACACAGCTACTCAGAAAATTAATTAAAAAACGTGGAATCAAGTACTGATTGAAAATGATTTTGTAATCGTACCTGTATAGTATTTTAAACCTTTCACTAAAAAAATAGTCAATAACAATGTACAAAACAAATAGCCTAACAACAAGACGAACACTGCAACAATATAACAGTAAAATATATAGTGTATTATTAATTTAATAATAAAAATTAAGTCCTCTAAGGTAATTTTCACTTTAGTTGATAATTTATAATCGCAAATTGTGAGTATATGTGTGTGTAACTATCTATCTATCTATCTATCTATCTATATATATATATATATATATATGTTATGCAATGTCAGATTTAATGCAGATTTAACTTGTAATTATATTATAAGCATTTTATATATATATATATATATATATACACACACACGTGTGTGTGTGTGTGTGTGTGTGTATATGTGTGTATATATATATAATATATATATATAAAAATTACTTTACATTTATACGTTTTAAATTAATGTTGGAACTCCCCAATTACGAGGGAGGAGCTGACTGATATACAGCGTTGCCATGGACAACGGCGAATATTAGGAAATATCAGACCGCTGGAAGGCACGATTGACCAGTCAGAATCAAGTATCAAAAAGCTGTGTAATATTTAATTACAGTGCAGTATGTAAGCATCAGTATTTAAAAAAAAAAAAAAAAACTATAAAACTTGTAAACAATAAAACAATTTATTCATATAGACTGCACTTATTTCAGTCACTCACAACTCTATGTGTTCATTTTGCATTGTATTTGAATAAGCTGTGATTTTTAATCACATTCATGCATTATGTAAATGCTCGAGATAAGTGGACAGGTGGATAAACAGATAAGAGTGAAGACCGGAAGGACCAACAGGTAGGTTGATGGACAGAGACAGACAAACTCAGATACAATCAGGAAAAGACTGACCTTGGTGACCTTTGCAGAGGCAGGAGCCCATGTTCAACAGCTTAGCAGTTCTCTGTTCACCATGCCGACTGAGAGTGGGGCGACGGGGAAAAATTAGCAACAGAGAGAGAGAGAGATGAGAGCGTGTTTGGTAGAAGGGGATCTGGAACAAGCAGAGAGAGCCAACTGGATGATAGAGGTGGAGAAAAGAGAAGGAAAAAGATTGATCCAGGATGAGGGGAAAAGGGACCTGGTGTACAACCGGTACAGTGAAGCACTGTTTCTCAAGTGGGGATGGAAGTGAGGAGAGGGAAAGAGAGAGAAGTGGGGAAAACAGCACACAGACTGTGTGCACTCAGTCCCTCCCCTCCTCTCCTCTCTTCTCCTCCCCCTTCTGCTCTCATTTTCTCTCTCAGACCCAACTTTCACACCATCTACATACTGAAATTACTACCTTTTATTGAGGTTACATTAGGGATGCACTGATATCAAAATTCTGGGCGATAGCATTAAGCTGAAAATTATTTTTGTGCTATGACTAATAACCGATAACTGGCTGATATTGAAATAAAATGATATTGAAACTAAAACCTAAACCTTGAAAAAAAACTTTAAATGCTACAAGCAAATTTAGGCATCAAAATATTATAATGTACAATATAAAAATGAATAATCATTTTGTGATTTGCTAAAGATGACATTTACCACTGTTAATAAATTATTAGTGTTTTTAAAAATCTATTTTAAGGGAGTATAAAAATAGGGGAAATTTGCATAATTAAATGTCTAATATCAGCCAGTACCCAACATGGTACTGATATACAATTTAGACAGCAAAACATTGGCAAACAACCTACATTTTAATTAATTACAAATTCTCATTTGGTGCTTACTGACAAGCTTACTTGCATTGATGAAATTAGACAATAAACAAGTTTAAATAAATAATCTACATGTAATAGCCTGTATTTTAGACTGTATGTAACTGTATTGTAGATCCTTATCTTTTAGATCCAAATTTATACTGATATCATAAAGTTAATTTAGTATATTTTGAAGGCTTTAATACATTTGATTTTAAAGTCATATTAATGTATTAATGTATCTAAAGATAACATTTAATAGTGTTGTTAAATTATTAGTGGTTTAAAAAATTATTTTAAGTGGGTAAATTAGCATAATTAAATAAATAATATCAACAGGCAATGATATGTTAAAAATGTCTAATATCGATATGCTACTGATATATTGTGGGTATATCAGTGTCATACCACTAGGTTAATATAGCTGAAAAGTAGAACTAGAAAAGACTGTAAATGAAGCGAGGGGGATAAAGATAGATTGATATACAAATAAAATGGAATACAAAGGTGTGTTTATGATTAGATCTGTTCAGGTGAGGTTCTGCAAAGTAGCTGAAATTTCCAGAAAAGCAGAAAAGAATAAGGGGTTTCCATAACTACTTAATGATTGTAGCTTTCTACTGCCCTCCAGTGTCACAAAGGTAAAGTTGCATGCAGAAGCACACTCAGTGTGAATGGTAGAAAATAGAACTATTCATTCATCCATCCATTCATTCCTCTATATGCAATTTACAGCAATGTATTAAAAATATTTATGTGATGTGATTT